CTGCAGTGGAAGTGCTGACACAGCCTCATTCTAACAGTGCAAATGAGACTGAGAGCTCTGGGCTGGGGGCTTTTCCTGCCATTTGTGGGTGACACAGTGAGATAACAACTGTAAAGGAAATACACCCACAAAGTGAAATGCAGGGTGTTTATTTACTGTGGAGAGTTATCTAAAGCAGAACATTTGCTTTTCTGAAACTTCATTACTCCCTACATGAGTGCAGGCAACCATTTGCTCTCTCTTTTCCTAGAGACTAGAAAAACATTGACAAACCTCTGGGGGGAGCAGTTTGTTTTGACATGGAATCAGCCACCAGCCAGGCAGTGCAGATGTGCTGGGAGCCTATCCTGACTATAGGACTCCTTTCAAGCTGATCCTTATGGCTCAGAGTTATTTTTTCATCCAGGATTTAAAAATAAAATACAATTTAAAAAGAAGAAGAAGAAAAGAGGAGGAAGAACGTGGCAGCTCAGAAGTGAGAAGCATATGGCCTTTCCTGACTTACTGAGCTACTTGGAACCTGCCTGCGAGCTCCTGGGGCTGAATCAAGATAAATTTGTGAAGCTCACTCAACACACCAGCCTTGGCAGAGAGAAGAGCCCTCCACTAAAAGAGCAGCTGTAAAACAGAGTAGTTATTGGATGTCACCACCACAAAGCCTACCTGGAAAACCCTGGAAGAACAGCAGAGTGTGCCCAAGGCTGCAGTTGGAGTCAGCACAAAGCATTGGTTCCTAAGAGCACTTCTGAACTGAAATTCTGTTTTACTCCACACATTAAAACCAGGAGGGACCGATCAGGCTCCCACTGGGAGGAGATCAGAGTGTCCAAGCAGCCCCAGTTCCATCTCTCCTACAAGGAAAAGCTGGGAGAACTGGGATTGTTCAGCCTGGAGAAGGGAATGCAGCTTTCCTGCAGGGAGCCCACAGGAAGGATGGAGAGAGACTCATGACAGGGGCCTGGAGTGACAGGATGAGGGGGAATGCCTTCAAACTGAAAGAGAGCAGGTTTAGATGGGATTTTGGGAAGGAATTGTTCCCTGTGAGGGTGGGCAGGGTGCCCAGAGCAGCTGTGGCTGTCCCTGGATCCCTGGCAGTGCCCCAGGCCAAGCTGGACAGGGCTTGGAGCACCCTGGGACAGTGGAAGGTGTCCCTGCCATGGCAGGGATGAGCTTTAAGGCCTCTTCCAACCCACAGAATTCTGGGATTCTGTGATTCCTCCATGAGAAGACCTCTGCCTGCTTCAATCCATCAGGCCTGAATGCACACATGGTTACTCCTGAATTCATCCTTCAGCCATAGCCATAAATCCTGCAGTTACTCCTGGCAGAAAGGGCATAAGGAGCAATTACACAGGTTGTCATCAGCTGTAAGAGATGAGAGATGGGCAGCTGGCACCAGCCTGGCAGTGGCAATCTCACACTCACAGTTAACCCTGCACAGACAGAGCGCGACCCTGCCCTGCTGTGACAGTGGCTGCAGTGCCCTGCACTCAGTGACAAACACCTCACCAGGGGCTGTGCAGGCTGCACACACACGGGGACAGCAGGAGGTGCAGCTCCATCCCCCGTGCCTTCCACAGGGGCTGCACACACGAGAGGAAGGGCAGGAGTGGGTGGAAGGCACAGTGATTGCATAAGCTGGCTCTGCTGCCAGCAACATTAAAAACATCACCATCAAACAGGTGGGAAGAGATGGCTGCTGACCCTGGCAGAGCCTGCTCTCTGCACTGCAAACTTCTGATGGCAGGAGAACAAACATCTCTGAGTGCACGTGGCCTTGAGCAAACCCACCTCCAGCTAATCCCCTCAGCCCCCCGCCATAACCAGCTGCTGGTGAATGTGCCAGCATTCCATCAGCTGGAATCCAGGGATTCTCACTGATTTCTGCCCTCACTGGCAAAGAGAAAAGAGTGCCAACCAAAGAGGGGAGAACATCTGTGCTCAGGCATCAGCAAAGCAACCCATGGGAGATCCAGCACTGCCAGACCCTCCAGGAGTGCCTCTCACTGCCACAGGGAGCAGAAACACCACAGAGTGTTCCCAGGTGAGCTCTCCCTGACATGTGGTGTTGGAATGAAGGTGATCTTTAAGGCCCTGTCCAGCCCAGACTGCTCCAGGACTGTGATTTCAGCACAGACACACACGGAGACACATGCAGACCACAGAAATCCTTCTGCCAATTAGAGGCAAACCACATCTGGCTATATTCCCTCAGTGAGAGAAAAGGCAGCTTTTTTTGGGGTGCTTTGAGCATTCCCTGCTGCAGGGTCAGAGCACTGCACAGCTCCATCCCACACCTCACACAGCTGGTCTCATCTCACAGCGCATCTCACTGTTTTCCTCATTTATCACTTAGAAAAAAAGAAGAAGGAATAAACAGGAAATGCTATGAGAGCCCCAACTTTTCATAAATGTGACCCCTGAACCATCACTGGGCTGGTGAACATTTCTTTCTTAGGCCTGCAATATCCAAGCCCCAGTCAGTCCCACTGCTTTGCAGCACAGCTCAATACTCCAATGGCCTGCAGCTGTATAATAAGCAGTTGGAGATTCAGAATAATTCCAGTCATTAAAGCAGAATATTTAGATAAACAGCAAAAAGATGCAGATTGGCTTCCTGTGGGGAGCTTGCACAGATAACTCTAAAATACACTGCAGAATTGGAACTGCCAGGCCAAAGGGCACACTCACCAGGCTGGGGGCTGTAACCTGAAATACCTGAGAGCTGACAAGTGTGAGCTGCACAGGGATGGGAGATTCTGCTGCAATCACACAGAGAGACCTTTCACACAGCTCTGCCTGGCTCAGGTGTCCCTGGGACATCCTCGAGGGCTGGAGCATCCAGGGATGGATGGAGCCTCAGCAAGGATGGGGCAGGCAGGAACCCACCGTGGGTGCCCCTGGCAGGTGAGGAGGAGCCCCACAGCCCCTCTGCAGCTGCCTGGCCACAGCACTCAGATGCCTTGTGCCCCTTGAAGGAGTGGTGAATGCTGCTGTGGGTGGCTCAGCAGTCACAAGTGCTTCTCTCACTGTGCTCAAGAGACCTTTCAGGTACCTCAGTAAACAGCAAGAACCTGCTAGAACTGACTGGGGAGGAACAGCAAAACAAGGCAGGAAAACAGGCAACACAAAACTCACCATAAATATCAGAGGATGCATCAGACTTCTCCATCTGAATGTGCTGGGTAATTTTCTGACAGATTTCTATTTCCTTGTACAGCTGAATAGAGGGGGAAAAAACAAACACAAAAATATGTTACTGTGGGAGGACACATCAATTGTAATGGTTTGGAACAGATTTTTGGGTTTTAATTACAGGCAGAAGAAGGGACTGTGGTCATTGTTTATCAAACAGTTTCTCTCCACCTGTGTGAGAGGCATTAGCAGTGCCACTCAGCTCTGCTGTTGGAACACAGCTAGGGAGGAGGAAGCAGTGTTTTCCCACCCCCAGCACAAAACAGAGCACCCATCTATTTCCCTCAGTCAATACCATCTTGAATGCATGACAAACACAGCTTCTGTTCCTGTTTTCCTCATTTACAGGTAGTAATAGCTCAATGCTTTATCTTATTTTAATGAAGACATTGCAGGAATTCAATTATTCAACAGCATTAAAATCACAAGGAGTGATTTTGTTTCTCAAACACATTTCTTCATTATCAGACTATCAGGTTTGCTATAGCTCAGCCTGACATTTCACCTTCCACACCTTGATGTTTATTTGTACCAAGGGAAGCCCCCAAGTGTTTGAAATGGTCATTAAGATCCTTCCTGGGAGAGCAGCACAAATTCACACCCAGGCAATAGCCCAGAATCCCTCCATGGAGCCTCAAATCCCTCTGCCTTTCAGCACTGAACTAACAAACCAGCCTTTGTGTTCAGAAAAAATCACAGCCCCAGGTGAACAGAGCCCACAGGTGAATATTAATTCTGTTTACACGCTGCTGTGAGCGTGTAAAAACGCAATCTGCAATAATTAACATTTTGAAACTCAGTCTTTGGACTGCAGTACTAAACTGTTCCTTTAGAAAAGAAGAGGACCTCGTTTGCAAAAGGTTTCCCTGATAAAAATGTAATTTTATCTCCTGCTTCTATCAGCACTGCAACAATCAGTATTGCAGAATAGTTACAGCCCCATGGAAGGAGCTCCATGTTCTCCCCAAACATGAGAAGCAAACATACAAAGTGTTTTAATATCCCCACATCAGACACCATCCTGCAGCACCCATCTCCACCACTCCCTGCACAGCCCCAGTGACAGAGTTTTGGGTTAATTACAGCTTTTCAGAGTAAACAGTAAGTGATGATGACTCTGCCAATCCTACACCCTCTCAACACAAGTCCCCAAAGTCCTTCCAGACAACGACAGCCAAAAGCTGTCTCCTCTGAGCTTTCGTTTTCCCCTGCTCTATCACACTTCCCAGTCCTAGCACTCCTCTAGCACTTTCTCACTATTTGTTGTTGTTGTTGACAGCATTAATGAAAAATCCCAGAAGTCCTTTGCTAAACGAGCAAAACCTCCATAACTAGCAAAGTTTTACTTTTTATAAGTAAACCAGCCACCAATGAAAAGGACCTTAAAGAGGTTTACAGCATGCCTGTGTAGAATCACAGAGCTAAAGCATGACATTAATCCTGTTTGGTCTTTTTTTTAATCTCTCATGGCAGAACTCCTTTGAAGTCTGCTTTCGAGATGAGCGAGATGAGAACAGCCAGCTGAGGCAATTAAGGAAGCATATTCTCACACATAACTCCAGACCTTCCTGACCTCAATCTTTACCTTGCCATCAGGAAAAAAACCCAAAAAACACCCAACAACTTGTGTACCTTCCCCCTCTTAAAAACTCAGACAGTGTGCTGTCTGTAAAACCTCCATGTGTCTGTAAAACCTCCATGGACAACACGAACAACAGGAAAAGACAACTTGGAGAGAAGTTAAGCTTCAACATAGCTTAGAGTGACTCTCACACGCCTGTGGCTGTCCCTCCTCTCTCCCCAGACACATCCACACACAAATGCGAGCTCAACACCAACACGGGATGAAAGCTTTGGAGAGATCCCTTTGCTGAAGGCCAATTTGCTCTGCTCTGCAAAGCCCCGCAATTGCAGAGTGAAAAGCAGAATTCTGCGTGCTCCAGAACTCAGATAAACACTAATTAACAGCAGTGTCACCTCAGCAGCCCAGTGGGCAGCATTACCAGCTCATAGATCTCCTCCTCTGGCTTTGGCACGTAGAACTGGATCTGGTTGTCCAGCAGGAACTTGAGGCGCAGGTAGTGAGCAGAGCAGTCCAGCTGGTGAGTCTGCAAGAGAAGGGAGCCCTTAGAAAAGCAGCATTCCCTCATCTCTGGCCCTCACAGCAGCACCTCCTGCCTGAAGGCTGAACAAACCTGCTGCTCCTGCTCTCCCCCAGCAATAAAATCCATGAACCCAGCCAGGGCACTCTGCTGGCCTGGCCTTCTGCTCCCTCCCAAGCCATTCCAGAAATAAGCCCAATAAGCTGGAACAGAAACCTCAGAGCATGGCTCTGGATAAAAGGGTATCGAACTAAATGTTCTGCTAACAGAGCAAAATGGAGCAGGAGAGGTGTTCTCTGTTTGGTTTGGGTTTTTTTAGCGTCTTCATAATTTAGCACACAAATACGATGTGGCAGATTTCAAGCAAGGTTAATAAGCACAAAAAAAGCTGTCTGTCCTCTAAATTCCAAGCAGCTCAGGTTACGCTGGCTGGAAGCAGCCAAGAGTTGCATCCTGGATTGCATCCCAGTGGAAGCAGGTCACACCATTTTAATGAATTAGTTATAATTAGCTGAGGACAGAGCATTTGGTCTGGGAGATGTTAATGACCTTTTCTCAGCATGATTAATAAGGCTGATTTAAGCAGAGGTTAATGCAGTGTGTAATCAAAACACATTACAAGTATGATAAACACAAAGGATATCATCCAGGAGTTACTTTCAAAGTTCCTAAACTGAATCTAATGAGAAACCCCAAAGTGATTCACAGATACAGGAGGCAAATTCTCCTCCCTGTCACTTCTGAAATCTCACTATTAAAGGCTTTTATACCTCAGCCTTTTCATTTTACCCCAGCAAATTACCAGGGTTTCTCAGGCTGTGCTGAAAACAATGCCTTATCTGAAAACTCATGCAAGAGCATCACATTATTGCCTGTTTGTCCTGTTTTTTAAAGCCTGGTTTTTCCAGTTCCAGCGTGATCCAGCAGCACTGAGGTGATGAGCAATGTACCTGTGGAGAACATCCCATCCTGACCCTCCAGCAAACACCCAAAGAACAGGAAACACTTTGGGAAGCCTGGATTAGCCCAGGAGTAAAAAAAGCTACCAATAATAGGAGGGAAAACCAAAACAGATCTATTGCTGCACTCTGCACAGTGCTCTGTTCAAATATGTCCAACCCAAAAAATCAAATTATCCTTGGATGAAACGGAGTACCTGAAATGGAACAACCTCTGTAATCCAGGCAAATTCCTACTTAATTAATTAATGACTGAAACCTATCCAGAGCCAAAAGAAAAACAGCTGAATGTTGGAGATATCCTTGCTCCCTCACTTTTCTCTTTTGGAAAGCTTCTTGCTTGCTTTTCCCAGTGATTGCTGCTGTTTTCAGTAATTCTGTCTTTACAGACACACACATACAAACACCCCAGAAAAGAAAGGGAAGCAGAATTGGCATTAAAGGTTCAGATGTGACACAGAGGAGTCCTGGGTCACTTTCTGTCAGCTTAGGTAACTGTCCCTACACACAGAGGTGTCTCGAACAAAGAGGAGACCGAAAGTCTCCTGAGGACAGCCCCCAAAGGATGCTTTCCAGCCCGCCCAGGCAGGCAGAAATCACCACCTGGGATGAATTTATCCAATCTGGGCAGGCTGAAGTTATCCAGGCTCTGGGCAGAGCAGCAGCTGAAGACAGAACTGGGTAAAACACTCCTGTTTAGAGCCATGCATTTCCTTCCCCATGCATTTCTTCCCAACAAACCCCATCAGCCCAAGCGGATGCCATCAATCCAGTACACTGCGATGCCATCCAGGTCAGGAATGAGAACCCCGACCATGAGCCACCCCATTTAGCTAATTAACATCCTGGGGCTGTGTCTACCTCAAAGTTTGACCCTGGTTAAAGTGTCTCAGACAGGGCCATGGTGTTCTACTGAAGTGAAAGGAAAAGGCCCCTGCAATGTGGACACAGCCAGGCTGCCCTAAAAGCCAAACCATTAACCCACTTCTTGTTGCTGGGAGCTGCATCCACATGTGGGGAGGTGGGAGCAGAAACAGGGCAGCTTTAATGATAGGAATATCCTTTCAGGACCACCCAAAGTACCTTTCAGCCGTCCAAATCAGCTTCTTGGTTTATTTATTTCTCTCCTAATAACTCTGGCTAGGTCTGGACTAAATTAAGCAGCCAACCCTGTTTAAAGCACAGCCTGACAGCTCAGCTGAGGTGCTCCAGGAGAAGCATTTACAGCCGGGCTGGGATCCCATTGCAGAGGCTCCAAGTGCCACGGTGGGCTGGCACACAGGCCCAGCTCCTTTGGCCAAGGAGAGGGCCTGGCACGCTCTCCAGCAGCACAGGAATGTGGCCATCCCACCGCTCCTGTGTGGCCCAGCTCTCCCAGCAGGAAAACACCAGCCTAAAAGCAAAGGAAACCCCCAGAGCATCAGGCTCAGCTTCTCAGGGGCTCTGAGCACAAACCCTGACACCTTGGCTCTCTGCTTCTTGCCCCTCATGCAGGTCTCTTTGAAAAATGTAAATGGTGAGGGATAAAAAAAAACACCCAACCTTTCTTACCTCACTTTTTATGCAGTCAAAAGACAAAATGCCATGTAGTCATCTGGGCTTGTTTTTTACTGCCATTATCTCCATGTTGGGTTTTGGTGTTATTATCCCCACACTGGCTCTGCCTAAATCTGCATACAGAGTGTGATTTCCTCCTCCATTTTAAGACATACCATTATGCAAATGCTACTAATGCATATACATTCCTTCACACTGAGCAGTGTCATCACAGAATCACAGGATGGTTAAGACTGGAAGGGACCAACTATTTCCTATCAGCCAGAGAAAGCAATTTAATGCATATACACTGAGTTTTCCTGCCTTCCAAGTGATGTTGCTAGTTACATCTGAGCAGAAATCTTTGAGAAACCACTTTAAAAATGCTTTAAACACTCCTCCCACCAATCTTGAATCATAAAAGTGTCACAAAGCATCCTCCAAAGCCTAACTGGCTGTATAATAACAAGCAGCAATGTTAGCATAAGAACACATTTTCCACAATCACTTTAGTGCATTGAATGTTCTCCAACAGAAGAATCAAGCTCAGTTTAGCAGCACAGATTTAACCACATCCACACAAACATGAGGAGGTTTATATGAAATGTAGAGCTTGAAATGTTTACTGTACCAGAACTTGACTGGTTCTCAGATGGCAGATGGCAAACTGATGTGAAATGATGTGGATCGGATATTAAAGGGGGGAAAATGAGCTGAATGCAAGAGACAGAAGAAAGAGATTGATTATTAAATGCTACAGAAAAAAAGGCATCTGAACAGTGCTTTTCAGGCTGAAAACTCTCACAGAAAGGAAAGAAACAGAAAGTAGCTCTTGAAAACACCCCCACCCACCGCAGCAAAAGCACAGGGAGAGACCAGACCCTGATCCAGTCCACTGAGCTAACCATCCTCACCCAAAGCAGAACATAGACCCTAAAAATAAACCATTACTAATCATGTGTCATCCAGCTTCCCTGTTATGCCTCTCTCCCAAAATGTCATCTTTTGCTGAAGACAAAGTAGAGCTTTCAGAAGCTGCAGCACACCTGGCAGAGAGACGAGCGCACCGTGCAATTACTGGAAACAAACGCCTTTCTCTCACCTTCCCTCCTTCAGAGGCACATGCAACGCGCTCTCCAAGTCCCCAAAGTTGAGCTCTCAATAGTAATAAATGTTTTCTTTTCTCCTGCTGTTGTTGTTGTACAAAGCAGACTCACTTTTCAGAGCGGCACGTGACAGGTCTCGCTCGCTCCGCAAACACACATTATGCAGCTGCCAGAGCTGAAAGCCTGTGTTTAATTTGTCAAAGTTCCCAACTCTTTGGAGATGGAACTCTTTTTAATGGCCCAACCTCTCTGATACTTCATCTGGCAAAGAAATCCAGGTGGTTTTTCTTCCCCCCCCACTCCAATGTAGATAAAAGCTTCCCCTTGCCCCCTCCTGCCACCCACGCCAGGCTGGGTCTGGTTCTGCACTGCAGGCAGCAAACACACCAAGGCTGGATTGCACCTTCCCCATCCTGGGGCTGCTGCTGCTGTCCCAGTGCCAGCCTGGGGGCAGGGAAGCAGGGATGGCTCCTGGACACACATCCCCTTGCTCCTGGGAAGGGCTGGCTGAGGTCACCTCACCTGCCTGGCAGAGGGGAAGGGGCTGTGGGAGGGATGCAGAGCTGGGGTACCAGGGTGGCTGCACCACCACAGTGTGGGGCACCCGGGGGCAGGGACAAGGGTGCCACCCTCAGCTCGGTGCCACTGCAGGGACAGGTGAAGGGCAGCAGCAGGTGAAGGCACTTCCAGGCTTGTGCACAGCAGCCAGAGTGGGGAGGGCAAACCCCAGCCCGCTGTCCCTGCTGTCCCTGCAGCCACAGCAGGTCGGCTCCAGCTGCAGGGAATTCTCTGCTGTGCCCCTGCCCCAACACTGCAGTGTGATTTGTGTTTGCCACCCAGGACAGAGCTGGTGTCCCCGTGCAGAGCAGCCCAAGCAGGGGCACACACACATTGCCAGCTCCCCAGGGCAGGTTTACCTTGCAGATCATCTCCAGCACGTCCCTGGAGGTGTCCCCAGGCCGGATGACAGTCAGCACAGGCTGGTTGTTGGGCAGGCAGAACCACGAGGGCGTGAAGTACTCGTGCACCCAGATATCACAGTCGGGGTTGTGCTGGTGGACGCTGCTCAGGGCCACGTCTTTGTCCCTCTAAACAGACAAAATCCATCATGGCAACAGCCCAACACAGCTCCCTCTCTCTCCAGCAGTGACTGGTGCATTATGTGCTGCACAAGAGCTCTCAGAGAGAAGACATTTGGCTCCTAAGCCCAGGTTGAAGGCTTGCCTGGACAGGCACCTGCAGCTTTCCCTGAGCAGGGTAGAGTGTGCCTCCTGTGCCACCCACACACTGCTGCAGTGTGCTTCTCCTGGGGTTTCACCCTATGCCTACTGGGAATGCCAGGAATGTAACAGCAAAATAGCAGGGATGAAAGAGATTTGAATTTAAAACCGAAATGTGCAGTGTTTCTGGGCAAACCACAACAAAACTGATGTGGTACTGCAGCTCCAATGCTCAGAAATGGCAAAATAGCAAATCTTCTCCTTTATTCTGAATTTACTGGCTGCAAACGTGGGGGAAGGAGGCAGCTGGAGAGCTGGGGTTTTACCTTGCCATCTGGGACTGTGTCATCAAAGATCCCTTCAAGAGATTTCTTCACTGAATCCACTCCTTCTCCAAACACCTGAGGAAGAAGAGAGGGGATCTGCTTTAAACACAAACTGACTCCCTGTGCACAGTACATGCCATGGGCAGAACAGCCTGTCTGACATCCAGAACAGGATTCAGACTGAGAAATACAAACAGCCATCCCCAAACACACTGCTTGCACGAGCCAGAGAGCCAAAACCAACAGGATCCTGTGCAGGAGGAATGATCAGACAGGAACATGTGCAGCACCCACCCCAAATCAGCACAGGGCAGGCAGGGCTGTGCTGCAGCAGAACCCAACAATGAGAACTGAAAAGTTCAGTTTTAGAGCTCCACATCAGGGATCAATTTGCTGGGCTGTTAATTATTACCTGGCAAAAACGAAGCAGGGACCAGGCAGGATGGAAAAGGTCTCTGCCTTTTGGGGATTTACAGCTGGCTGCTCCCAACAGGCAACACTTTGCCCAAGCAAGGGAAATGTGTTCAGGCACTGCATTCAGGCACTCTGCTACTTCCTCAAAACTTCACACTCTTTACAACTCTCTGCACAATGGATTTCCTTTAACATGGAACAGAATCCCCCTCCATGCCTGCGCTGTGGAGGAGTGAGGGGGGCAGGAGCAGGGGAGGCAGCGTGAAGAATGCAATTATCTCCACTGAAAGGAAAAACAAAAGGAGGGAGCTCAGGGGGATGAAAAAACAGGTCTGAAAACACAGCACAGGCAGGATCCCAGCTCAGGAGAAGGGATTTGGGACAAGTAAATACAAAGCAACAGGGATGCTGCAGCATCAGCACAAGGAACTGGGAATGTGCTCTTGGAGCTGCATCCCAGCCAAGCCCTGGGCTTTTGCTCAGCCTCTAAATACATCAGGTGAACTTTCAATGCCTCATCATCCTCTGCTGAACAAAACCAACAGCCACTGCTGCTTCAACAGACAGCACCAGAAATCACAGGGCACAGAGCAGCGTGTGGCCCCAGCCTTTCTCCCCACAAGAAGTGAGGGAAGAGAAAGAAAGGCAGAGCCTACATTTCCTGCAATTAGGTGAGGTATGGCTCTCAAAAAGTGAAAGCTGTAATTAGGGATGTTTACAAAGAATAACAGGGAAGCACCTTCCTACCACACTGGAGCATGTTTTCTAGAGAAAGATCTGGGCAGTGACTGGGTGGAAACTGCACAACTTCTGCTTTTTTATAAATCTGAAGCAAAACAGGGAGTGTCCCAACTAAATGCAAAGCTTCTTGTCACTTCGGAAAGTTTTCACCAAACTCAGCTACATTTAAATCACTGTACACTCATATTTTAAATTAAAAATAACCAAACAAGTCTGGATTGTTTTGGGGTTTTTCCCTCCAAAGCTGTGTGTGTTTTACACTGCTGCTTTGCTGCTCCTGAGATTAGGGAGGGTGCCTGCAGAAAAAGCAGAAGGAGCAGAAATGCAGAAACAACAGAATCCAGCTGAAGAAAAGGGCAAATTGCAGCCCTTTGGTGGGAGCTGCTGTGCCCTGATGTGCAGCTACAGCCCCTGATTTTGGAAGGGAGGAGGAACACCATGACTCTGCCAGTGACTCTTTGTGTGATCTGTGTTCTGCCCGCCAACAAACCACCCCTGCAATAACAGCACCCCAAACTCCCACCTCTTACCTGGTTAATGCTGGGCCTCCCCTGCTTCTTCTTGGAGGTAGTGTCCAGCCCCCAGAGAGAAGAAAACCTGCTCCTCCTCTTGCTGGCAGACCTGGACATGGCCTGTGTCCTTCTCCTCACTCCCGACTCCCCCGTGCGAGCCGCCACCTGTCAATGCCACCTGGCTTCAGCACCAGAGCTGCAGCAGCCCAGCAAAACCCCCCAAACTGGGGGGTCTGGGGGGGAAAAGGGCAAATCCTATGGCAACACAGAGTTTTCACTTCTGGGACAGTGGGGATGCTGCCAGGCTGCTGCCTTCTCACTGCAAATTAACTCACTTCTGCCAGCATCCAATACCGAATATTGAAATGGACAGTACACACCACCTAATCATCATTGAGCAAAACCTCAGCACCAGTGATAGGTTTGGGTTTTTTCCTTGATTTTTCTTTTCCTAGCAAGGTTTCAAAGCTGGACGTGTGAAACCTGAGATTTCCAGACTTATCAGTTGCTTCCCAAAAACCCCATCTTCCTCTTTGCTCCTTCCTGTGGAAACACTCTGGGCATGCTGGTGCTGACTCAGAGGTGCAGCAAGGCCAGATAAAGGCTTGCAGGGAGCTCATGGCGGTTAAGCCTGCACTTCCTTGAAGATAAGTGACATCTGAAGGATTGAGCAAGGCACAGGAAGGGGAAAAGTGATCTGAAATGACCCTTCCCATCAGAGCAGTGTCAGCTGCCCTACAGCAAAATGCCCTGTGGCAACAAGAGACACTGCCTTGACTGAGCCCAGCTGCCTGGGGAGCTCTGGAGATGAGTGGGACATCAATCAGAGCTGAACAGTTCAGACCCAATAAAAAGTCTGTCTGATCAGATTTCCCAGGTGGAGGTGGCCTGAGGAGAGGAGCTCCTCTCCTGCCAAAAAGGGAGCGGTAGGGAAGGGCAGGAGGCACAGACAGACAGACAGACCCACCCTGCTGACTGCACCTCCTGGAACACCTCAGTGCTGCATTCCCACAGCCCAGAGCAGCAGAGTGGCCCTGGGAACAGCCAGGGATGGTCCCAGCTGAGGAACTGGCTGCAGCACACCCAGAACTGCAGTGGGATGGACAGAGGCTGGCTGCTGGCACTGGGTGAGGAATGGGGGCTCTCCTTGGGAAACGGGGGAAATCCGGGAAAAGGAGAACCTGAGCACCACAGCAACAGCTCCATTTCCACAGGCAGAGGCTCCCCAGCTGTGCCTGGGACATTTACACAGAGCCACATGGGGTAACTGCACATCTTGGATGAATGTACTGGGACATCTTCAGGAGACTGGGGTCATGCAGTCACAGAATCCTTTGGGATGGAGGGGACCTTAAAGCCCATCCCATCCTATTTCACCCCTTCCACTGTCCCAGGCTGCTCCAAGCCCTGTCCAACCTGGCCTGGGACTCTTCCAGGGATCCAGGGGCAGCCACAGCTGCTCTGGGTAAATTCCCTTCCTGAAACTTGAGTTAGGGCTCCTCACATGAGGCTGCACTTCCCCACGCTCCTGGGGGCAAAGGAGGACATGAGAGTTTGCTGAGAGGAGAAGAAAACACGTGCCTCTTCCAACACAACATTTTTCCCAACATATTTTTTCCCTTGGCTCTCCAGAGACACCAGCATGAAGAGGCAGACTGTTTTTCAGGCTAGAGCTCAGTGCTTTGCTTGATGTGAAAAAAAAAATAAAGCATAAATGCAAATTACAGCCCGCCACTTAAAAAATATAATAAATCCAGCAGCAATTAGCAGGATGATGACGCTAATCTTTTCATATAGGAAAGAATAAAAACGCCCCTGACTGAATTACAGCTCTGCATTCAACTGCAGGCTACAGCTGACATCTACGAGACAACAGTGGGGCTCAGCTATTTCTGTGAACCTCCAGGAGTCCAAGCCGAGACTACAAGAACTTGACTCAAATTCATTTTGCAAAACGTTCCCCTGCACTTTTAAGAGCTGGGCTGTTACAGTATTTAAATTTAAACAACCATTATTTGCCACACCACAGGGAGCACATTTCCCTTCCCTTGGGGAGCATCAGGTGTGGATGACCAGAGTATTGGAATAATTGGTTGGAGTAATTGGAATCAAGTCAGATAGCCCAAGAAGGTCTCAGCCAGCATGTGCTGAGGGTCTCTGAACGGCTCCCACTGACTTCATGGGATGTGTCCATATGGGATGGCTCCCACTGACTTCATGGGATGTGCGGATCACACCCAAATCTGTGGACACTTGAGACGACCCTGAAGACCTGAAGACACTTGAGATGAACAGGAAGATCTGTTCCTGGTGCAAACTCCGAACGACAGCTCTAGGACAGTGACAGCTCTCCCCCAGCTGCTCCTGCAGCCCAGCCCAGCCCATGCCAGCCCTGCCCACTCACCAGAGCGTGGAAGGAGGACACGGAGAAGATGCCCAGGCGGCCCATGGCCACCTTGGTGGGGCGGCTGGCAAAGGCCAGCAGGCGCTTGGGGTTGGGCAGCTCCCCGCCCTGCAGGCTGGCCAGGTAACAGCGGTACCGGAACAGGTCCATCTGGAACTGCTCCAGGTTCTGCTCCCACACGAAGATCTGCCAGGGGACACAAAGGGACAGCAGCCTGGTAAACGCCCTGGAACAACTCACAGTGGCACACTCGCAGAATCTCTGCTGGGCAGAGGGACTCTCAGATACGTACAAGCCTCCTTTCCCAGCCCAGCAGTCCAAGAAGGAGTCAGAATTCTTCTGATCTCATTCTCAAGGTTGTTTATTGTTTCTTATCTATAAAATTCTTTCTCCAACTAACTGAGGTCTGTCTGGCAGGTCAGACAGAGGAACACTGCCCACTTCAGACTTGGTGTTGTCTTTTTATACTAAAAACTACGTGCACATTATTTACCATAACTTCCCAATATCTATCACCTATGTTAGACAGAAAGCTTCAGCTCTAAACCAATCCAAAAGTGCCCTATTTACCATAACTTCCCAATATCTATCTTAGACAGTGAGTTTCAACCTTAAACTAATCTGAAAGTGCCCTATTTACAGTAACTTCCAGTACCTATCACCTGTGTTAGACAGTGAGCTTCTACTCCAAACCAATCTACAAGTGTCCTATTCTACAATAACTTCCCAATACCTCTCACCTATGTTACACAGTGAGGTTCTATTCTAAACCAATCTAAAAATGCCAACATCACCCAGAAGATGGAGGCCAAGAAGAAGGAGGAAAAAGGACAAGGCATGCCCAAATTCCTCCATCTTGGGACCCTGAGCTCCCATTCTAAAAACCTCAAAAATCTATTTTTCACCCCGTGACAAACTAACTATTATTCTACTTAAACTTTCTTGACTTGTAATTCTTCATATAAAGGTTGGGAATTGTTTTTTTCCAAGGGCTAAATCAAAGGCAGGGAGTCAAGGGCAGCCAGAGGAATTTCCTGGGTTCCAACAACACACCTGTCACTATGATATTTTCTCAAAAATCCCTCTGTTAGTATTTTTTCTCCTGAGAAGCTGAGAAGCTTCAGAAAACAAATGCAAACAATAATTATTTGATTGCTTTGGAGATTGTTTACTAACAGGTGTACCTTTAATTAGTTTTATGTGAATTGTGTTAACTTAATGATTCATTTTAGTTTAGTTGTGCTGGGATTCTGGTCAGTCACGGGTTTTTATTATTCATTCTTTTCTAGCCTTTTAATATATCTTTTCTCTATTCTTTTTAGTATAGTTTTAGTATAGCATTTTTAATATAATATCATAAAATAATAAATCAGCCTTCTAAGAACATGAAGTCAAATTCTCATCTCTCACCTCATCCTAGAAACCCTCACAACACCACACTCACCCTTTTCACCAGTGTTGATCTCACCCAACAAACCCTGACTGCTGATTTTCCCACATTCCCCTGTCCTCCCAACCCCCCAAAGGATGCAAACAGCTAAAGAGTTTTGATTAGATGGAAAACAACTTTCTACATTCATGGCAAAAGTCTCCTCCTGGGACAACTGCTCCTTTGATACAATGCTAATTAACAGGATTAAATTTTCATTTTTAATTTTCTTTGTATTTCCAGGATTCTCTGCTCAGCAGTCCCTTAAGAGGCTTCCTTCACGCATCAAGAGCATCTGAAGAATCAGAAGAGCAAAGCCCACCAAACTCCAGGCACAGGGCAACCCAAATCAGCAGCCACAGCAGCAGCTTTGCTGTGAGCAACAACAGAGCTTGAACAAGCGCCATACACTGGGGATAATTAATCTGATCAGCAGAAGAGTGCTGCAATCAGCCTATGGAAGGACTTATTTAAATAATTCAAATGGCTTATAGGAAACAGTTTCAAAGCATCCAGACAACCTCAGTTACATAAAGAGAGAGACTGCTCTGCTCTCTCACTGTGACTGACAGCTTTGAGTAGGGTTCTTCAGCCTCTCCCTCCTCTTTCTCCCCTATTTCCCCTTCTCACGGGCTTCCAGGGGGTACAAATCCTTTTAGCTCAGCCCCAGCCACTTCCCCCTATGCTTTGCATTACAGGCACACTTGGCAGCCGTGGCAGGAGAGCTCCAAACGAGGGAAGCAGCAGCCATATGTCAAATTTCCCAAAATAAGGCGCTGCTGCAGCAGTGTGGGAGACATCTGCTCGAGGCTCTCTGCTTCTGAGAGGCAGCCAGCCACGCTGCCCACTTGAAGGCAGCAGGAGAGGGCCCAGGGATGCAGCCACAAGGCCAAGGCAGGCCCTTGTGACAGCAGAAACCAGGCACGGCTGCCTCAGCCCAGCTGCCAGGAGCAGCAGCAGCAGAGTTTGTTGGTGTACAACAAACAGCAGTGAAGAGCTGCTCCCCAAGGCATCCCCCAGCCATGGCCTGGCAGCCTCCTGCTATCCACATCTCCTGGAGGCAGCAGAAGACAGCCCAGGCTGGACCTCAGTGGAGCAATGGTGCAGCTAAGGCAGCAGCACAGCACTCCAAGGAGCTCCCATCAACCTCTAAAAGGCCTTAAACCCACGCTAGGGACTTTTTATCAGAATTCAGGACATCCCTCTGGCTGTCCTGGATTGCTCAAACCCCTGCCAGGGGGCTCAGAAACCTTGGCACAGAGCCCAAGGCACCTGTGACTTTGATTGTGACCCATGGAAAAAATTACCAACCTTATGTGAGGATCTGCAAGCCACAAAAGTCCAAGTAGAATAATAATTAGTTTGTCATGGGGTGAAAAATAGATTTTTGGGGTTTTTAGAATAGGGGCTCTGGAGGCAAGACGGAGGAATCTGGGCATGTCCAGCCTTTCTCCTCCTTCTTGGCCTCCATCTTCTGCTGTGATGGTGGCACTTTTGGATTGGTTTAGAGTAGAAGCTCACTGTCTAACATAGGTGATAGGTATTGAGAAGTTATGGTAAATATTGTACACATGGATTTTAGTATAAAAAGATAACGCTGCCCTGGGGGCAGGCAGTGTGCCTCTGTCTGACCTGCTGAACGGACCTCAGCAGGCCAGAGAAAGAATTTTATAAATCAGAAACAATAAACAACCTTGAGAATGAGAATAGAAGAGTTCTGACTCCTTCCACCACCACCAGGCTGGGAAAAGAGACTTCCAAACACATCTCGGTGTTGCTGTGAGCAGCAGAATCCCTGAGAACTTTTGAGTTTACCTGATCCAGGATGGTCTTCTTCTTCTTGGAGTCTGTGACGGAGGACAGCTGCATTTCCCCCATCTTCTTCATCTTCTCGTCCATGTCGATCTTCTGCTCGAGCTTCTTGATCTCGGTCTTGAGCAGCTTGAGGGTGTCCTCCTTGTGGTGCTGCCGCGCCACGGCGGTGGCGCAGGCCGAGTGGATGGCCGTGATCCAGTTCTCCAGCTCCGTCTGGCTGCACGTCTGCCCAGGGGAAAAGGGGGAAAGAGCTCAGCACCCTCCTCCAAACTGATGAAACTGATGGCAGATTAGCACATGCAACTCCAAGCAGGTTCCTCTGCCTTTGATCTCCGGATTCAAAGCCTTAAATCCACTTATGTACCCCCATCATCCCATTTTTAACGCTTGGAATTACACCTCTACCTGAGCTTTGCAGCTCGGGGTGCTTCCCAGCAAGGCCTCAGCAATCACCTCCCTGGCCATCATTTCTAGCTTGAAATTTAACCAAGATTTCTAAACTCCAGCTCCTTAAGGCAGGGAATGCACCACTGCTGTGCCCTTCCCAGGATGGAGAGCTTTTCTGCCATGCAGCAGTTAACAATAAATTAATGGCAGAAAATGTGACCATGAGAAGCATGAGTAGCTTTATGGTGGTGCACAGAAAAACAGCTTTATGTTTCTGAAGGTCCCAAAGCACTCTGAAGACACCCCTGTTACCATTAAAGGCAGGCTCATCCTCGTTTCCAGCTCTGGCACTGTCCCTTCCCAAGCACGGACATGGCAGTTTGGGAAAAAGGAACATTTCTCCTTGCTGGAAGTGCCCAAGGCCAGGCTGGACAGGCCTTGGAGCAACTTGGAAGAGTGGAAGGTGTCCCTGCCCAGAGCAGGGCATGGAACTGGATAATCTTTAATGTCCCTTCCAGCCCAAACCACTCTATGAGACAGCAGGCTGGAGCATGGGACACCAGTACCTCTTTCTGGAAGAGAACTATTGTGATTAGAAGAAGACTCTTTCAGATCTTCCAAATAAGAAGTCAATCTAAGGCCTTTTACCAAACTCCATTCCTTTTTACAGCAGGTCATGAAACAAAGACTTTGTGTGAGTGTCAGCCTGGGGCAATAATCACACTGGTATTTGGCTGGAAAAGCAGCAAGGTGCCAAACCACCTTGTTCTAATTAAACTTTCTGATGATGGCTGATCTATTAATAGACAGCCCAGCATGACTTCTCCATTTGCTGGGGAAGATGAGGAAGGTCATCCTCGCTGAGGTGACAACCAACAGCCAAGGATGAAGCAAAGGAGAGCTTCCCAGAGAGGCCCAGCTGGGCCCCACACTGTCGCCCAGAGCTAGGTGCCCTCCTTGCTGGGAAACACAAAAAAGCTTTGCAGAAGCCAACCTGGAAGAGGAAAGCGTCGCCAAGGGAGTTGCTGAGGCAGAAGACAAAGTCCTTTTTGGGGTGCTCAGGCACGGCCTGCACGATGCTGTTCTCCACCCAGACCGCGTGCTTGGGGATGCTGTTGTGGTCAATGCCAGACCTGCCGTCCGTCTCGTAGAAGAACAGCGTGCAGCCTGCAGGAGACAACGAGCAGCAGGTTCAAATGTTCTGCTGGTTTCAGTGCCAGGCAGCCACACCAGGAGCTGTAGGGCACTGTGAGCCCTGACCCCGGGCTGCTTTGTTCACCCTGAGCTTTGTTTTCCCTAGGACTGCCAAAACAGAAAGTCGTGGGCAGTAAAATACATTCCCAGATGAGAAACAGCATAAGAAATCCCAAATTTGGGGCTGTCCATGGCCACGCCATCGCACAGGTGTGAGATGTTGGTCCCTGAGGGTGACAGCCAGCTGTGAGCCAGCCCTGGGAGCAGACAGACCCGCGGGCATGGCCCAGCCTCACCTCTGCAGCTGCAGTCCCCCCAAGGCAGAGATCAAGCCATTTAATTACTGCATGCAGACAGGAACTGGAATTAAAATGGGCTGTGCTTGCTGAAACACTGACAGACAAAAAAAACTTAGCTGGGGCCAGCAAACAACCTGCTCAGTGTTACAAAATAATCTTTACAATCCTCCGCGGGAAGGAAAACAAAGTGCAGAGCAAGGGGGCAATTTGGGAGATGCCAAAAAGAAAGGGGTCTCCTCCTCTCCCAGCTTCCCACACCATCTCCAGCTGCTTACAGGCTGGCACATGGCTGCTGTGTCACTGGAAAGGGATGCTCTGGTCACTGGAAAGAGAAAGGGGTGCTCCAGCCTCCCAGAAAACAATTTGCAGCCAAACAATGGCAGCTGTTGACTTCAAAGCCCCGGTTAAACACTGCCAGTATCGAGGCACAGCAATCCGAGGAGTTAACACTCCACTTGAGCCAAAGCACTTCAAAACAACAGCACTGCCCTGCTCATCCTTCCCCTTTCTTCTCCCAGCTGGCCCTTTGTTTGCAGCCCCTCACAGCAAGACCTTCCTGCCCCCTCCCAGGAGATCAGGGCTGCCCTCACCTCCCTTCTCCTCTCCCCCTCCCCAGCTCTCCAGCCACCCCAAGGAAGGGCTGGCTCCAAACTTTGCTCTTGGCTTTACAACAGCGCTGCAAATTAAAAATAAACATTAAATAAAAATAAATAAAAGTGCTCTAGGAAGAGCTCTCTTTGGGGAGGGCAGGGTTTGACCACACTGAGCCTTTTGGGTGACCACACCTAGAGCAGGAGATATGGCTCTGGGCACAACACAGGAGAGGAAGGCCAGTCCCAAAGCTGTGGTTCCCCATTTCCCTGCAGATGAAGCACATGGAAATGAGTTTATGAGTTCATGAGTTCCTGCATCAATCCAGAGAGAAGAGGGTCTGTGGCCCGGGCAGCTGAGGACGGAGCAGGAACAGGCCTTCCCAGGCATCTTCCCTGTGAAAGGCTGCAAGAAGCTGGGAGAAAGCTCAGAGAAAGAATTAAAACAGTTCTTAGCCCCACTTGCCGAAGCTCTTGCTAGGAAAATGTGGAATGTGTTATGGAGATTTGTCTACCAAAGGGTGGTGGTGTTTTGCTTGGTTGATCAATGAGGTCAAAGCTGTATCGGACAGGCTGGAAGGGGTTATGGATTCCTTAACAATATAGTATGAAAATAGTATAGAAGAATAAAGGAGTGGTTCAGCCTTCTGCATCATGGAGTCAGTGCTAATTACACCTGTGTCAGGGAGACACCTCAGGTGACAAATGGTGACCCCAATGTGATGCATCAATCACCCCTTCATGGAGTTGCTCGACAACTGAGTGCCCACCTGGGCACATCCCTGCCCTCTCAGTGACACCCACAGTGCCCACCAGGGCACAACCCTGCCCCACTCAGTGACATCCAGAGCGCCCACCTGGGCACACCCCTGCTCCGCTCAGTGACACCCACAGTGCCCACCTGGGCACACCCCTGCCGCTCTCAGTGACACCCACAGTGCCCACCAGGGCACACCCCTGCCCCTCTCAGTGATACCCACAGTGCCCATCTGGGCACATCCCTGCCCTCTCAGTGACACCCACAGTGCCCACCAGGGCACACCCCTGCCCCTCTCAGTGACACCCAGAGTGCCCACCTGGGCACATCCCTGCCCTCTCAGTGACACCCACAGTGCCCACCAGGGCACACCCCTGCCCCTCTCAGTGACACCCACAGTGCCCACCAGGGCACACCCTCTCAGTGACACCCAGAGCACCCACCTGGGCACACCCCTGCTCCGCTCAGTGACATCCACAGTGCCCACCAGGGCACACCCCTGCCCCTCTCAGTAACACCCACAGTGCCCACCTGGGCACATCCCTGCCCTCTCAGTGACACCCACAGTGCCCACCAGGGCACACCCCTGCCCCTCTCAGTGACACC